GAAAGCAGATAACCACAACTCTTTCTACTCCATTGTCAACTCTTGTGTCCACAACATCAATGCCTATTACTACTACCACCACTGCAGAGACAATGCCATCTACCCAAACAAAAACATCACCCCCTCAATCTAGCACTCCACTTGTTATTGTGACCACTCATCCTACTTCCCAGCCTTCTACACCAAGTTCACTTCAACCCACATCCACATCTTGCCAACCTAAATGCCAATGGACCCAATGGTTTGATGACCACAATCCAAACACTAGCCCTGATGGTGATTTTGAGCGCTTTGAAGACATACGAGCACGTGGACTGGTTTGTGAGCATCCCAAAGACATTAAATGCCAGGCAAAGGACTATGCACACACTAGGAATCCTGCCCCGGTGCAGAGTTTCCAGTGCAATCTAGAGGTTGGACTAGTGTGCGAACATGAAAAACAGAAACAGAAACCATATAAATGTGTCAACTACCAGGTGCAATTCCTGTGTTGTGATTATAGCCATTGCCAAGCAGTCACAACAGCAGTAACTGCCAAACCTACATCAGCCAAAATTCTATACTCTTCCTCAACATCCAGTGCATCCACGCTACCACACACAATATTGACCACCAGTCCAAGCACACCCCCGGTAAGCACAAGTACAGCAGTAACAACAGGAAAGCAAACAACCACAACCCTTCCTACTCCACCATCAACACGACCAGTCACCTCTGGCATTATCTCCACTGCATCGACCACCACTCCAAGCACACCCCTAGTATCCACAAGTACAGCAGTAACAACAGGAAAGCAAACAACCACTACCACTTCTACTCCAATGTCAACACGACTAGTCACCTCTGGAATTATCTCCACTGCATCAACCACCAGTCCAAGCACACCCCTAGTAACCACAAGTACAGCAGTAACAACAGGAAAACAAACAACCACAACCCTTCCTACTCCACAATCAACACGACTAGTCACCTCTGGAATTATCTCCACTGCGATTACCATTCCAAGCACACCCCTAGTATCCACAAGTACAGCAGTAACAACAGGAAAGCAAACAACCACTACCCTTACTACTCCACAATCAACACGACTAGTCACCTCTGGAATTATCTCCACTGCTCCGATCGCCATCCAAAGAACCACCTCGTTGTCCACAAATGCAGAAGTAACAACAGGAAAGCAGATAACCACAACTCTTTCTACTCCATTGTCAACTCTTGTGTCCACAACATCAATGCCTATTACTACTACCACCACTGCAGAGACAATGCCATCTACCCAAACAAAAACATCACCCCCTCAATCTAGCACTCCACTTGTTATTGTGACCACTCATCCTACTTCCCAGCCTTCTACACCAAGTTCACTTCAACC